TGAACCCGGGAGTTAAAGGCTGCTATTCAACCCCCCTCGGTCTTCTCTTCTCCAGACTAAAGCACCCCAGTTCCCTCAGCCTCTCCTCACCAGTCCTGTCCCCCAGCCCCCCCAACCATTTTCATTGCCCTCTGCTGGACTCTCTCCAACGTGTCCACATCCTTTCTGTAGCGGGGGGGCCCACAGCTGGACACAGGACTCCAGATGTGGCCTCCCCAGTGCTGAACAGAGGGGAAGAATCACTGCCCTCCATCTGCTGGCAGCGCTCCTACCAATGCAGCCCAGGATACCGGTAGCCTTCTTGGCAACACGGGGACACTGCTGGCTCATATCCAGCTTCTTGTCCCCTGTCACCCCCAGGTCCTTTTCTGCACAGCTGCTGCCCAGCAAAACTGGCCCAAGGACCAAGCCCTGGGGCACTCCACTTGAGACCGGCTGTCAGCTAGATATCAAGCCACTGATTACTTCTCTGAGCCCGATGCTCCAGCCAGTTTTCTATCCACCTTACACACCATTCATCCAGCCTGTACTTCCTTAGCTTGCCTGGGAGAATCTTGCGGGATACAGCATCAAAAGCCTTGCTAAAATCAAGCCCCTGGCTTGTTTACTTTTCATTCCATCCAGGAAAAGCACAGACCAACTGCTGAAGCTTCCTTAGCCTGACGAAGGGTTTTTGAACCCGAAAGCTTGCTTAATAACTATTCTCCAACCATTTGGGTGGGTCTAATAAAAGATATCAAATTCACCCAAGGAACCTTGTCTTGCTAAAATCAAGGCACACGACATCCACCAGTCTCCCCGCATCCACAGCACCAGTCATCTCATCATAGAAGGCAATCAGGGTGGTTAGGCATGAGTCATGACTTGCTTGCCCTTGATGAATCCATGGGTTCCTTGAGTATCTCCTCCATGATTTTTTTCAGGGACTGGGGTGAGGCTGACAGGTCTGTAGTTTCCTTGTTCCTCCTTTTTCCCTTTCTGAAATATGGGCACTGTGTTTGCCCTTTTCCAGTCCCCTGGGACCTCTCCTGATCACCTTGAGTTTTCAAAGATGATGGCCAGTGGCTCTGCAATCACATCAGCCAGTTTCCTCAGCACCCACCGGTGCATCCAATCTGGACCCATGGACTTGTACACTTTTCTGAATAGTCCCTAATCTGTTCTTTTACTACTGAAGGCTGCTCACCTCCTCCCTAAGCTGTGCTGCCCCGTGCAGTAGTCTAGGAGCTGACCTTGTCTGTGAAGACTGAAATGAAGACAGCATTCAGCACTTAAGCATTTTCTGCATCCTCCGTCACAAGGCTACCTCCCCCATTCATTAAGGGACCCACACTTTTCCTGATCCTCCTCTTGCTACCGCCATACTTGTAGAAACCCTTCTTGTTCCCCTTCACAGCTCTTATAGCTGCAACTGCTATTGTGCTTTGGCCTTCCTGACTTCATCCCTGCAGCTCTGATACTCCTCCCTATTTATTTGTCCAAGTTTCTACTTCTTATAAGCTTCCTTTTTGGGACAGTTTACTGAAGAGTCCTCTGCTAAGCAAGCGGGTCTTCTTCCATACTTGCTAGTCTTCCTGCGCATCGGGATGGTTTGTGCCTGTACTCCCAGTAAGACTTCTTTCAAGTACAGTCAGCTCTCCTGGGCCTCTCTCCCTCCCAGACTGGCTTCCCAGGGGACCCTGCCCATGAGTTCCCTGAGCGAGTGGAAGTCTGCTTTTCTAAAGTCCGGGGTCCTTACTCTGCTGCTCTCCATCCTTCCTTTCCTCAGGATCCTGAACTCAACCATCTCATGGTCACTGCTGCCCAAGTTGCCATCCACTACTACGTTCTCCACCAATTCTGCCCTGTTTGCGAGCAGCAGGGCAAGATGAGCATGGACCTTAGCTGGCCGCTCCAGCACTAGCAACAAGTTGTCCCCAACACACTCCAAAAACTTCCGGGATTGCCTGCGCACTGCTGTACTGCCCTCCCAGCAGACGTCAGGGCAACTGAAATCCTCCATGAGAACTGAGGCCTGCTAGCTGTTTGAAGTCTCATCCACCACTTCCTCCTGGTCTGGTGGTCTATAGCAGACCCCTCACCACCACATCACCCTTGTTGCTCTCCCCTTCGACCCTAACCCAGAGACTTTCAACAGGCCTGTGTCCAGCTTCATACTGGAGCTCTGAGCAGTCAAAGAGCTCTTTTACATGAAGTGCAACTCCTCCTGCTCTTCTCCCCTGCCTGCCCTTCCTGAACAGTTTGTACCCTCCCATGACCGTGCTCCAGACACGTGAGCTCCCACCAAGTCTCTGTTATTCCAAATCAGATCATTGCTCCATGACTGTGAGGGACTTCCAATTCTTCCTGCTTGTTTCCCAGGCTCCGTGCATTCATGTACGCGCACCTGAAGATGATTGTCCCAATTTCTCATGAAGTGTGAGAGCACCTCCCCTGCTGCCCCCTCCTGCTTGCTTTTCCTCCAGGTCTCCCGGATCAGTGTAGTCGGCATGGAGAATTTAGGAAATTTTTACACCTACGTAAGCAACACTGGTGTCCACAGCAAATAGACGATCAGCTCTTCTAAGGTGGCAGTGCCTTGGCCACAGGTGGTAAAGGTGCTGATAATAGTCTACTTGCATTGAGCAAATACAGACATATGACATTACACTGAAGTATAAGGGGTGCCTTTGCCCCATAGCAGGATGACTTAAATCAGTATAGGGCTTTACACTGTGCAGCTGCCCCACACTCACACTGGTGTCACTGTGTTACGTGTCTTCATTCCTAGAGCTCACCAAGTAAGAGGAAGCTTCACTCCTCTTTCAAAGTGGAGCTTACATCACACACACATCCCCAAATCGACAAGCCGGAAATTTAGTTGATATGTGCCGAAATGGCTGTGTCCATGTGGCAATTGTTAGAGTGTATCGGCTCACGGGAATAACATGTTCTGTACGCTCTCCTCTTTGAAAATGTGTTCACAGCACATTTAATTAGTGAGAACTAATAATCCTGTGGACATATATATTTACTGAGTACTAGTTTGGCAGCCCTCTATCTTGCATACTGCCAGGACCAACCCAACTGTCAGGTATGCCTTCCACTGCTCTGGGGTCATGTTGAACAGATGTCACCTCTGTTTAAAGGGTAACATGCGACTGGAATTAGGCCATTTATGGTTGACTGCTCTGGGTGTCAGAAACACTGCTCTTCAGCTAACATAATAGCATTACAACACTTCACTGTGTTTTGGTTGGCCTCCTGGAGCTGTGCACAGGTATTGTAAGTAGCATTAAATGCAACGGTATACACCTTTTTTCTGGGTGCTCAGATACTGGATAGGTATTAGCTAGCAAGCATTCCATGATAATAAAAAAAAAAACCCCAAACCTTATACCCTTATAGAGAAAGGCTGATAAACCACCACATTTTCATTGCGCTTCCCTGTTTACAAAGAGGAGCGTTCAGACCAAATCAGTGAGCATGCTCTTTTACGAGGGGTCGAGGTCATGATACCTATATCATGTTCTTTTCCACCCACTATGCCAGCACCAAATAAGTCTAATTCACTTTACTAGTCTCTCTTGGGCACTGAAATGACCCAAATACTTAAACAACTAATTGACAAAATTATGAACTTAGGACTGTTGTTCAAGATGCTGATAAAGCTTGTAGTTAGTAAAGATCCCTGCCCATTAGTCTCCAGTATTATCACTGTTCTTTTCAAGAAGGCTCCTCATAACTGCATAGTTTTCTTTATCCCTACATGCCTGTCATAATCAGTGTGCTGGCTGATGACTATATAAAGATTAACTTTAGAAACTGTGAATACTGCTGTTTAGCTGTCCAAGTGGGTTTCCAACTTGCTAAAAAACAGCAGGCTAATTTCTACAGTTGCTTAAAACCTTGTCTGAACCCTATATTGTTATATAATGTGAGATTTTTTTTTATCCCTTATCAAACACATACACACACACACGTATATACACATTTGAGCTGTGGAACAGCGTTTGGTCATATATGTATTTAAAGGGTATGATTGCTAAGGTTCAAAATAAAAATACCTGCTAGACTAATCTGAGAGTTGGCATGGCAGTATCTTTCTTCAGTGTGCAGACGGTCTTGCCATTACTAGAAAATCCAGAGGTTCCTGGGTCTTGCTCTTCTGCTCAGGGTCACACTGACGGTCAAATTTGGGATCAGGAAGGAATTTTAACTCTATAACCAACTCGCATGAACTGCAAAGGGTTTGTTTTTGTTGGGTTTGTTTTTTACTTTCCCTTGCAGTGTGAAACACAGTCCTCTTCCTAGGACATTCTCAGCATATATTAACCAACTACTTTCCCTGTTGTTGCAGTGGCAGGGCACTGGAAGTAAATCTCGTCTTCCCAGCTTTTGTATGTGGTATGTTTTGGGGCTGTTCTTAAGGTTTCACATATTGTTCCTTGTAGCTGGTGAATGATGGGAGTGGCAGTTTTGGGGAGTCTTTTGATTAATGATCATTTGCCAAAGCAGGGGATTAGTGTTTATGGCCCAGGGGCCTTCCAGTCCTATGCTCCTGTCATCACCAGATGTTATGCTGTGCTGCCAGTGCTGAAGTCTCAGGGACTGCAGTACCAGCAACATGTTGCAGCCAGAAGATCCCATCACCAATCTTGCCTTAAGAGAATGACCACAGACTTGGTTCTGTGGCAAAGCATGGCCAGGTATATTGTGTACAAGGCACAGTGCTGACACTTGTGAAGGTGTTAACACATGTATGCTTGTGACAAGGCACTGGCATCAGTACAAAGTCCCCATAATTTTCAATTCTCCTTTTATACAGTGGTCAAAACAAATGACATGTTACATACTCAGTATTTTTGAGCATCTTAAGCCATCCTGTACCATGGGCTTGTTCCACATCCTGATCCGGGTCTTCCCGGACCTTATCATCCTGGTCCTGGACTACTCTACATTTTGTACAGCCATCTTCCCCCCCCCCACCTCCTGGCAGCAATGTACATCTGTTGCAACGAAGCCAACAGTTCCTACCTCTTGGCACAACACGAGTGTTGAGCGCATTTTTCCTTTTACAGAAAATTCAGAGATTCTGAGTTTTTTCTATTCCAAAAATGGAACCAAAAAAATCTGGAATTTCCCACTGAATAAGTATTTGAAGAAAATGTTTAATTTTGGTGTCAACTTTTTTAATATTCTTTACCTTCTTTTTAATAAAAACATTATCATTTGAAGACAAATTTGAAGACAAAACCTCCCAAAATATTGTTCTAAAACTGAAACTGTGACTACTCTTAATTTGGCCCAAGTAAATATTTTTGGAAGTGTTTCGGTTTTCAAGAACAAGAATCCATCCAGCTCTAGCCCCAGCTTGTCTGCGTGTAATGAGATGCTACACTGAGCAGAGAGGCTATTTGATATAAAAGGCTAAGTCGCAGCTCTCTTACTATATCAGACAAAGAAAAGCAGTGGTACTTACAGTAACACGTTCCTTTCAATGGATTTCCCTGGTAACGATTTTCTACCTCACACCTGAAAAGAAGTTTAAAAAAAAAAGCATTTGTTTTCAGTCTTAGTTTTTCCTTCTCTAGCTTATATCACTATGCAGTAGAAAAATCATAGGACAAATCTTGAACCCTTAACCACATAAAATTAAAAATAAAAGATACACATCTAGAGCTATAAACAGCTACTGAAAAAAATTATGAACACCTGGAAGACCCATGAAATTTGATCTGCAGCAGAATGAAACCACCAGAAATTAACCTTTGCATTTACTTAAAATTACTTTAATAAGTGTGCACAAACATACTGCATTAGAGCACTCCAGCCAAATATACAGCAGTCTCCATTTGCGTTTACTGCCATACCTGTTAACCTTTGCTCGTACGAGTAACCTTTCAAAAATAAACACTGCACTGAAATTATTTCCATTAACATTTTACTGGAAATGGCTTCTAATAGGTTGTATGGGCACTTTCCACATGTAAATTTGGTGGCTTTGTTGACCTGGAAGTGCTCCTTTAAAGAGACAGAATGTTCCAAAACCTTTTCCCATCTAATTTCCTAGTTATTCAGGCTCTACTGACTCACTCACTTTAAACAGAAAGCAACAATACTGACAATTAACTACTTCATTGAGGAAAACAGGAGCTTAGGGTATGAATAGTGGTATGCAGGCTGAGAAGAAATATGTTATTTTTGACCCTTTGGCATCTGAACTATATTCTTTGTTTTTAAACTCATTCAAAATCTGTCAACAAAACCATTTTGCTCAATGCTATCTTAATATAAGACGCCTACAACTGACTGGACTGCTGATGAAGTTAGTTAACCATCAGCTTTAAGAAATGTGTAAAACCATAATACATAATTATTCCAAAATGTAAAGGCTGCGTTTCATTTTATGTCTAACCACGAAATAGCAAAATAACAGGAAAGCGCAACTCACAGTTGACACTCGTCGCCTTTAATCCCTTTCGTAGTACAGAAACATTTCCCTGATTTTGTATTGCAGATGGAGGCATGCCCATTACACTTGCAAGCTGTTAAGGAAAGGAAAGAATAACGAATTATTCGGGATGAAGGAAAAGGGAGAGGGATAGTTTTACATTTGGTCATGAAAGTGAAAGATGTTAATAGTAAGCTCTGAAAATAAATCACATAGCAAAAATGTATGCATGTCCAATAGTGTATTTATGATGCTGACAGGTCTCAGCAATATTTGGGGGGAAAACTTTCCCCCGTGATTTTTTTCACATTAAGCATTTTGCCGTGTGCAGAAGTTCTTGGATGAGGTTTCTGTTCTTCGATGGGGCTTCTGTTATGAATTAGGTCAGACCACATGAACATAACGGTTCCCTTCTGGCCTTGGGCGGGTGGGAATAATGAGTGGCCCTCTCAGTTGCCCTCGTTTTGCTAGCCGACACCATGAAGGACTGTACTACTGGGTATCACAAAAGAACGAAACCTTGAGAAGGACAAAAATCGTTGGAAGATGCACAACAGCTTTGCTTTCATAAACACGTATTGCATTCAAACTCTTGACAAACGCGTGGAAGAAAAGAAATTAAAAAAAAATAAATCCGTGTTCACCCTTATGATTTTAGCAAGCTGATCTCAGCTCCTTATGCAGTCAACAGCTTTTGCTGTAAATGGAGGGGGAAAAAGACAAATGCTTTGAAGAAAAAAAATGGATCTCGATTCATAATGGAGTAGTAATGGCGCACACAAAACAGGTTCTCTTTGTCATATAGGATTTTCTCCTATTTAAAAAAATCCCCCATTCTTGTTTTAAAAAAGTAACCTCAAATCCACATTTTTCCATGATTAAAATGAAATGCCACTAATATATAGATAAATATTAATGGAGTTGCATTTAAAATCACAGAGAAATGTGGATTTGGGGATACAAGGTCTTCCAGTTCTTCCTGCTTGTTTCCCAGGTTCCGTGCATTTGTGTACAGGCACCTAAGGTAAGTAGTCGAACTTCTACAGCTAAAACTTCTACCTGCAGTCCGATCCCATGTCCCTCAACCCTCCTCCAGCTTGGCTCCCTGCACCCCATGTCCCTTCTCTTCCAGTTCCCCACAGGCGACCTCTATCACCTAAAACAAACTTTAACCTGGCCTGCATGAATACATCCTCGGGTAGTCTACAGCTTGGCTCAAGAGTTGGTGCATATTTGGATGTGCCTTTGTCCACTTTGGACCTGGCTGTACAAATACTCTGTTGTCCACCTGCTCCAGTTGCCACATGTGGTTGTGGAAGTTGTGCTTGGGAACAGGACTGAATACAGGTAACTAGCTAGGGGACAGTAGTTTCAAAAGAAAACAAGAAGAAAACACAAAGGCCCGGTGATGAAACAGGAAACAACATGAATCAAGATGTCACAGAAACAACTACGCTCTATGAAGCGCATCTCTCACTAATGGCATTCTAAATTTACATCAGCAGCTACCCCAAATGTCTTTACCCAACTTAAATCAAGACAGATACAAAACGCACTCTAGCCCAGGTCTGACATTAAACTAGGTAAGAATGAGGAGGAACTTGGTATTTAATTTAAAAACGTTAAATGACTGACATACATTAGCAACACACCAAAACAAAAAGATATGCAACTGTTCTTTGAAGCTTGAATAATGCAGATTAGCAATTGGTGCTTCATTGCACTTTTTCAAATCACTGTTTAAACCCCGGGACATTTAGATAAGATTTTATAAATAACAGCTTAAGTTTCTTTGTGCATAATTTTTACCAGGAGCCTGGGAACAGTTAAGACTGTTTATTAAAGGCCTAAAAAATGTGAACAAAAACTAAGAAGTCTGCATAGGTTTATTAAACATCAGTTTAACAAAGTGGAAATCAGGGGTGTAAAACTCACCTGGCCCTGTGTGCTGGAGGAGCATCCCTGAGCTGGTCTGTGGGCCGGACTTGGACCAACCCCCCGTGGAGCAGTCGCAGCACCAGGTGCTGCCTGTGCCACCGCACAGAGCACGGGCCAGCCCCTGGAGGCGACATGGGGTGTACGCTGCCAGCTGTGCGCAGGCTGGATCCGATGCTGCATGCGGCACGGGGGGCCCAGGGTGCAGACTGCAGGCAGCACCCCAGACTGCCCCCACGTTGTGTTGAAGTGCATGCAGCATGGGGTCCAACCCGCACACCACAAGGAGGGTTGTGACATATGGCTCTATGGGCCACATCTGGCCAGTAAGTTTGACACCTCTGATGTAAACGAACAAGTGGATTTTGGAAACCGCTAGTAGATGGCTCCTTTTGAGAAACTGCTAAGCTGAAGTAATAAAAAGAAAAAAAAACAAACAAAAACCAGAAATAAAAATACTTCCTAGAACTGACAAGTGGCTCTGCTTCCACAGCCTCCTGGGGTATTCTGCCCTCCCTGGAGGCCGGTGGCCAGGCTGGCCTGCCCGTGTTCCACGGCCTCCTCCATCTATCTCTTGCCTGCCATGTCTTGATGTTTGAAATACGAAAGGGAGGTTGTCCATAGGGGCTAGGGTGGCCTACTACTTGGTTCCTTTTACTTCTCCATCCTCACGCCACATGTATACTTGAAGAAGGTTTTAATCACCATAGGAGTTAAAAATGTGACCTCCAGTGGCCCCCAGAGTCATGGCCATGCCTTCCAGATGATTCCCAATGACCCCTTGTAAGGGGGCTATTGATCCCAGACTGAGACCCTAAGGCCTCCAAACCCTTGTCCAACCTTCAGCTTTCTCAGCCTCTACCCTTTTTATCTAGCTGAGCCCCCTCCGCCCAGGTCCACTGCCTCGGACTCTGGGTTCCTGGGCCCCAGGCCTTAACACCTCTGACTAAAGTGGGTCTCACAAGCATGTAGTACTCCTGGCATCATGCTCCATGGCCTCCAGATCTCTACTCCAGCCACAACCATGTCCTCTGGTCACAAACTTAACTAAAAATAAGAAAACCAACACACAAAGGGGTAATTGTCTGGTTCCAACTCAAACTCAACCCTCTCAGGGTCATAACCACTGCCACCTACATAAGGAGTAGCCTCCATTCCTCCAGCCCCAGGGTACCTCCTTTCTCTTGGCACCCAGCTCTGCCTCCCAGCTCCTTCCCCAGCAGTCTGCAGGCCTGGACTGCCTGCCCCAGCATAGAGGCTGGGCCTATAAGCAGTCAAGCCCTGCCCCTTGCAGTCAGTTGATTGCTCCCTGCAGAGATGTCCCTAACAGTGCCTACTCAGTCCAATGAGTTCTTGGGCTGCTCTTGCCTTGCAGCCTTCCTAAACCCAGGCCTCCAGGCTGGAGGTCCTGTTGGGGCTGCCTCTTGCCTCTACAAAAGTCCTGTTCCCTTTCTGACTGCAGTTAAAAGGTTGGGATTCCCCATTACGGAGCCCTTCTGGGGACACGTTTCAGTGGCAGGCAAGCAAGCAACCCCTGTGGCTCTTTGTTGCCTCTTGCCCTAGTGTCAGAGTGGGTCCCAATACAGCCCGTAAGGAGCCTCACAGTTCACACAGGCCTGGGGACCCAAACAAATTTAAGGCCCCTGGATTATAGCATCCATGTGCCAGGCTCCTCAGGTTCTTCCATACTGTGGACTATGTTGTTGAGAGAGTTTAACCTCTACTCTTATGTAGTCAGGACACATCCCCCCCCCCCCCCCCCCCCCCCCCCCCCCCCCCCCCCCCCCCCCCCCCCCCCCCCCCCCCCCCCCCCCCCCCCCCCCCCCCCCCCCCCCCCCTCATTTGTAACAACACAGCATCCCAGCACCAACTACAATTGCTTGCATAGAAAAGTTAATACTAGGCAAAGTATTTTTTGCTCTCTTTCAATACAACTGAGCAGCCTGAAGAGAGAAGGCAGCACTGAAGTCATCAGCTGCCTCCCTGGGGACCACCAGCAAGTGCTCCATGGAGAAGATTAGACTCATTGCCATAGAAGCACTCTGATTTGGGGGATAAAGGTACCTTCCATTTTCTTCCAAATAGCTCTCTTATCTCACACAAACATATTTCTATGCAAAGGTTTTATCAGAAAATGCAAAACTACTGAATCAACTAGAAAAAGCACCTCACAGCTATTTTTACCATTTTGATGTGTTGCATTTCCCCCTCTCGGTTATTTACACCGTTCAAAAGAGAACAAACGTTAAAAGCATCTGCTGAGGAGTGAATTAGCTAGCACACGGTTATTACACACCTGATATTGCAAGGTGCAGTGAGCTAACGAAGGGATATAAAAGTCTTCCGGTGAAGTATCCGTGGCTTTTTTTAAACTTAAAACAATCCTGCTGGTGAAGGTAACTTATCCTGATAGCAGCGGAAGGGAAGAACCTCACATCCCCTGAATCACTTGTTACCTCCCCTTGACTCAAATGCCAACAATAGTAAAATTCAAAGCTTATAGAGAATAATATTCATCTCCATCACTGAGCTACCAGGAGCCTATCTTGCAGGAAAGAGGTCTTCTCTCTCACCCTAACAAAACTGGGGTGAGTGGTCCCTGAAACCACGCCAATATTAATATGATCTGTTTTGGGTGGAATCAAACCCATGCTTTCAGGACTAACTATTAAGTTGCACTCCTCCAAATCCAATTAATCTTACCATACAGTCTTAATTATTCAGCAATGGCTGGGTATACAAACAACTGCTTCCAAGTCCAGCTGTGTCTCAACCCTCAATGGTCCCAACAATGTGTTACAAACCACCGTGTGAAAACTAAGGCCCCTTCTACACATTGTACCTACCCCACAATTAAAGTGTTAAATCGCAGCATAAATGACAAGGGTGCTACATGTGCCCCCAATTTACAGTGTCATAAAATGGTAAGACAGCCATAAAACTCCACATACAACACAGAATATTTTTAGGGATGATCTGTATAGCACCTTAAATTGAACATGTGGCAGGTCTAGAGGTGGGGCTCACAACCAGCCAATTGTCAGCCTCAGCCCCAGGAGCACACCGGAGCCTGTTTGAGACCCCAGTGCGGCCCCGGGGTCTGAGCCTGCAATCAACGGATTGTCACTCCTGACCCTGGAACTGCGGCCACTTGGCTTTCAACCCGCCAGGCAAGGAGAGCCTGGGATCGCAATCCTGGGCTCCCCCTGCATGGACAAGCACAAAGGCAGCAATTGGGTTCTGATCCCACAATCTGGACTGGCCAACCATTTTTCTGCCTTTATAGTAAATCATGCTAAAGTAATTGCAAATTAAAAAATGATCCAACCCCCCTGACTAAAAATGTTAAAAGCTATCCCAGTGATACTGAGCAAGTTTCCTACGCATTTTTTCCCCAAGATTGTGAATAAATTTTGTTAAACTTTCAGAAGCTCGTGTAAACAAATGGGCAAAGACAAACTGAGTTTGCAAAAGGAAAGGAACTTATTCTGGGTGAAATTCTAACCATACAATAAATGCAATACTTCAACCCAGAACACAGACCATTCATAACTACTGGACCTGAAGTGACCCTGCGTAGGATGGATAAGACTCAGCCTAGGAGACTGTTTTGAGCCTTAACCTCTCAAGAGCCTCTCCTATCCACCCATACAGATAAAACTCTTAAGCAGGCTCTCATCTTCTCACATCTTAAGAATACGCTTGTCATAGCCAAGGGAATTTTGCCCAAGCAACTTTGTTCAGTTCACAGCCATCAGACTACTGCTGAGAAGACCATATCACAGGGGTGGGCAAAATACAGCCCATGGGCCATATTCGGCCCGCAAGGCCATTCTATCCGGCTCATGGGGCCCCTAAAAAATTTAGAAAATTAATATTTATCTGTCTTTGGTTCCCATCAAAAATGACCCAGGGGAAGCGGTAGGACCCAGGGGAGAGCTCCTGCAACAGCAAGGACCACTCAGCCCCGCCCCCCAGCAAGAAGCCTAAGCAGGGGCTTCTGGCCTGGGACCACGTGGCTGCACAGTGCTGGAAACTCATGCGGGGGCGGGGGCGGACCCAGGCAGGGAAGCAACCTGGGGAAAAGTGGCCCCTCCCCCACCCCATGCCCAACACTCTGCGCTGCAGCCGCTCGCAGCCCGCGTGGGGCTGTCTTAAGCAGGCACAGGCAGCCCCACACGGGGTGTGAGCAGCAGTAGCATGGGGCACTGGGCAGGGTCGTTTTTCCTGTGCTCAGCACCAGCTTGTAACCCACCCCCACTGCCAGCCTGGGCCCTGTACCAGCTCGCCCATCAGGGCTGCACACGGCAGCATCAGTTGAGGCCCCCCCGCTTGCCATGCCAAGAAGCGTTGGCTGCTGCTGCCTGCTCGGAGCTCATGCAGCACAACGACGGTGGCGGCAAGCACTGCCCAGCACAGCAAGCGGGGGGACCACAGCTGCTGCCGCTGTGTGCAGCCCCGACAGGCAAGCCCGGAGCCAGCACAAGGCCCAGGCTGGCAGCGGGGGCGGGGTACAAGCCCCTCGCCTGCCCTGCGGCCAGTGCCCCGTGCTGTAGCCACTCGCAGCCCACCTGGGGCTGCCTGTGCCTGCTCAGGACAGCCCCACGCTGGTTACAAACGGCTGCAGCAGGGAGCGTGGGCCACAGGGCAGGGGAGGGCCACTTTTCCCTGCACTCTGCACCAGCTCCTTTCCTGCCTCAGAGCAGGGGGTCAGGGCTGCATGCTGCCCCCCGCCTGTACCGCAGGGCTGGGGGGCACTGGGAGTGAGCGGGTGCACGGGGTGGGCACCAGTGTCCCAGGGCCAGCACCAGCAGGGCCCAGAGCAGGGCGGCAGGAGTACAGGGTCCTGACCAGCAAGGGCTCTACGGAGCTGGGCCAGCTCCCCCTTCTCCCTGCTGGTGCAGCCCAGCCTGGCTCCACAGACCCCTGCCAGCCTGCAACCCGCTCTGGACCCCACCGGTGCTGGCCCTGGGACATTGGTCCCAAGACATTGGGACATTGGTCCCAAGATGGTGACCAGGGGCAGGGCACCTGTCAAGGGGCGGGGCTACCCATGTTACCCTCGACAGCTTGCCAAAACTGGGTAAGCAGTCCTCCGCCCGAAAAAATTGCCCGTCCCTGCCATATCATGTCACCCCTCTGCTCTCCAAACCCCATTAAAACAAATGTTAGTTGCTTGTCTTTACCCTGAGCCTACCTGTCTCATTTAGTGCTGACAGATCAACTCCTGCCTCCAATTAGTCCATGGTGCCAACCTCAATGGCCCTTAGATTTTCAAAACCTTTTTCCCCTTCCTGTTCTGACCCTCACCTCTGGGAAGAGGTCCCTGTAAAAAAAAGATTGCAAAAAATCCTCTTCACTTCTCTTCTTCTAACACCTCTTTACAGCTCTTTGGGGGGGGAGGGGGGAGGGTTAGGGGAGGTAGAACCGATGATCTTCCAAGGTCCCTTCCAGCCTTACAATCTATGAATCTCCTTTGCTGCAATACCTACAAAAATGAGAGCAGTTTGGCTGCTGGTAGGCTGGCAATACTGCTACGTAAGAAAAGACATATTGGGTCAGACCACACATCCATCCAGCTCAGCCTCCTGTCTCACAGTGACCGAGAATGGATGCCGAGGGGAAGAGTATTTATGCAGGATCTACCCAGACTTTTCTGTTCTCTGCCTCCTAATTTGAAGGATGTAGCTCTATTGTCATGTTTAAATACCCTCCAACGAACCTGTCCTGAATGAATCTGTCCAATCCTTTTTTGAAGCTGGTTAAATTATCAGCCTGTACAATACCTCGTGGTGATAAGTTCCACAAGTTAATAATACACTATGCTTGTTTTAAAATCTACTTCCTATGCCCCTAGTTTTATTATTGTGAGAATTTATGGCAAATCCCTGTTTACTTTCTCCACATTATTTGCTATTTTATAGACCTGTATCATACCCCACACCCTCCATCATCTTTTTTTTTAATGCGAGAAGTCCTAGCCTATTTAGACTATCCATGCCCCAATTACCCCTGTTGCCTGACTATCCTCGTTGCCTCTGCATTTGGTGCAGTGCTGTTTCATTGCCTCTTCATGCTCCTCTTGCTCTATCCACATCTGTTGTCTCTTGTCTTAGATTATTAAATCTTTGCAGCAAGGACTATCATTTTGTTCTGTGTCTGTCCAGCACCTAACACAGATGGCTCCTGGTCTGCGATTACAGCTCTTGAGCACAGAGACAGTCCAACTTAATAATTCAAACAGATGTATGTGGCATAACAGTGCATTAAAACTACATAAACTGAGGGCACTCAGATTCATTTTATTTTACAGCATCACCAAATAAATCCATGGGGCAAGATTCCTTTACTGAAATGCAAGCTTTGATTTACTGCATCTTATATTGTTGTAAGGGGGGGAAAAAACCCTCTTTATCCTGAAGGACCCCCAAGCATTTTACAATTTTAAATTATAATTCCAATGGGGATCATTTAATCTTGCTTCTGTCATCTAGCCACCCCTGCCTGGAAACACGACCATATTTCAATAATGCATAAGTCCAATAACTAGTGATTTGTCCAG